AAAAAAAAAAGCCACCAGACTCGTGGACTCGGGCTAGACTTGCGATTCTGACCGAGTCTACCCGAGTCTACCCGAGTCTACCCAAAAACGATTCTACAAGCGAGTTAACCCGTTTTGCTCCCCTAGACTCGTAAACTCGTCCGATTCTACGAGTTGACTCGCGAGTTTGACAACCATGGTAATACTCTAGGAAAAATGCATGAGGTGAAGAGGGTAGAAACCATCACATGGTGTAAGTATTAAAATGCACTCAAATAGTGAAAAGAGACGTACTCAAAATTATATTGCAACGATAATTCTCAAAATCCACTGCCACACAGCAATAACACTAGGAATAAAACAGTAGCTAAGAACAAAGAATTAATCCCAATTGGGCCTAAGGGAGAAAAGACGTACAATCCATCCACCACCCAATTCCCTGCCTCTCTCCTCTTATATAGTTAGTTAATTTCCCACACGTAATCCTTGAGGTACGAATTCGTTATGTGCTGCCTCACTTTTTTGGACCCTTCCTTGATTTCATCACCTCCATTCTACGAGTTGACTCGCGAGTTTGACAACCATGGTAATACTCTAGGAAAAATGCATGAGGTGAAGAGGGTAGAAACCATCACATGGTGTAAGTATTAAAATGCACTCAAATAGTGAAAAGAGACGTACTCAAAATTATATTGCAACGATAATTCTCAAAATCCACTGCCACACAGCAATAACACTAGGAATAAAACAGTAGCTAAGAACAAAGAATTAATCCCAATTGGGCCTAAGGGAGAAAAGACGTACAATCCATCCACCACCCAATTCCCTGCCTCTCTCCTCTTATATAGTTAGTTAATTTCCCACACGTAATCCTTGAGGTACGAATTCGTTATGCGCTGCCTCACTTTTTTGGACCCTTCCTTGATTTCATGACCTCCTGCCAAGTGTCCTTTATCAATTTCAGCCTCCTCACGTGTTTTGCCTTCTACCTTGTCACATTCCTGCTCCTTATTGTTCAATGCATTCCTTACGTGCGTGACATTTCCTCTCCCATAAAAATCAACCTTGTCCTCAAGGTTGAAGTTAGGATATTCTTCCTGGAGTGAAACAGCGTCTTCCCATGTTGCCTTAGAAACATCAGTTCCCTGCCATTGAACTAATAACTGTGAAATGAATTGATTGCCACGAATAATAGTTCTAGTTTGCAAAATGTTGCAAGGTTGGAGTAGAGGACCAAATTCATCTGTCAAAAATGGGGTAGGAACATACTGTTTTTGATGGTCACCTTTGAACAACTTCAGAAGTGAAACATGAAACACAGGGTGGATTTGCTAGTTGGAGGCAGTAGTAACTTATAAGCGACTGATCCCACACGTTGTACAATAGGAAAAAGACCAAAATACCTTAGTCCTAGCTTCTGATTTTTGCGCAATGCAACAGAATGTTGCCGATATGGTTGAAGCTTGACTAAGACCAAATCCCCAACTTTTAATTCTAGAGGCATTCTCTTCTTATCTGCAAATTTCTTCATGTGAATCTGAGCTTTTAGCAAATGATTCTTGAGCTGATTGAGGACTAAATCGCGTTGCTGCAGCAGTTCTTGTAAAGAAGGAGGGTCTTGAGTGTCCAAGGTGTACTTGGCTATAGTAGGTGGATCTCTACCATAAACGGCTTTAAATGGGGTCATGCCAATACTTGATTGAAGAGAAGTATTGTACCAATATTCAGCCCACGGTAGTAGCTGACTCCATGTCTTAGGACTATCAACTGTGAAGCACCTAAGATACATCTCTAAGCACCTATTTAATGCCTCAGATTGGCCATCAGACTGCGGATGATATGCAGTGCTCATGGACAATGTAGTGCTACTCAATTTGCATAATTGTTGCCAAAATTTACTTGTGAAGACTTTATCTCTATCAGAGACAATTGATTTTGGAAAACCATGCAGCTTAACAATGGTCTTTAGAAACATTTCTGCAACTTGTTTGCTTGAGAAATCAGCCTTAAGGGCAGCAAAGTGGCCATATTTAGATAATCTATCAACAACTACCATTATCACACTGAAACCATGGGACGGAGGTAAGCCAACAATAAAATCCATAGCTATGTCCTCCCAAATTTGGTTAGGAATAGCCAAAGGTTGCAGTAACCCAGCAGGTAAAGTAGTGGCTGTCTTAGCTTGCTAACACAATAAACAATGTTGGACAAAATTTTTGACGTCTCGCTGCATACCTTGCCAATGAAACTGAGCAGAAATTCGTGGCATAGTCCTTGCTATTCCTGAATGGCCACCAATAGGGGAACTATGATATTCATGTAGAAGTTGTTGTATGAGAGGGTGGTTGGCTGGAAGAACAAGCCTATTTTTCCAGTATAATAACTGATCCTTGGCAGAATAATGTGGTAGAGGAGGATTGCCCTGGTTACACAAGCTCAATATTTCAGTCAATTTGGGGTCTGAGGCAACAGCATCCCGCACCATATGAATGATATCCCAATTGGGATAAGAAATAGCCATAAAAAAAGATCTAGACAAGGCATCTGCAGCAAGGTTTTCACAACCAGGTTTATACTCAATGGTAAAGTCATAGCCCAGAAGTTTAGGTAACCAAGCTTGTTGCTCGGGCGTCTGAACTGCTTGCTCAGTTAAGCTTCAGAGGCTCTTCTGATCAGTTCGGATAATGAACTTATGGCCCAGCAAGTAGTGTCTAAACTTAGCTATTGCTTGTGTGATGGCATAGAACTCCCGGACATATGCCGATTGTTTTTGCAGCCTGGCAGAAAGTTTCTTGGAAAAGAATGCAATGGGATGCTTATCTTGACTGAGGACAGCTCCAATGCCAGAGCCAGAGGCATCAGTTTCCAGAATAAAGGGTTTTGAGAAATCTGGAAGTGCTAAGACTGGAGCTTCTGTAATAGCTATTTTTAGATTGTTAAAAGCATCAGTAGCAGTAGGATTCCACTTGAAGTTTTCTTTCTTGAGAAGGTTGGTTAGGGGGGTAGCTAACACAACATAAGCCTTCACAAACCTTCTATAATATCCGGTTAAACCCAAGAAGCCTTTGAGTTGAGATATAGAAGTTGGTATTGGCCAATTTAACACAACCTGAACTTTATTTTGTACCATAGTAACACCACGACCCGAAACTGTATGGCCTAGGTATTCCACTTCGGTTAATCCAAATTGACACTTGGATAACTTAGCATACAACTGATGGTGTTGCAGAATATTCAACACAGCTTCCAAATGGTGAAAATGAGCAGACCAAGTAGGGCTATAAACCAGTATGTCATCAAAAAAACACCAAGACCAATTTGTGCAACAGCCCTTGAAACACCAAATTCATCAAGCTTTGAAAAGTGGCAGGTGCATTTGTTAATCCAAATGGCATGACAAGCCATTCATAATGCCCTTGATGTGTTCGAAAAGCAGTTTTAAACCTGTCTTCAAGGGAAACCAGGATTTGATGATATCCGGAGCGAAGGTCAAGCTTGGAAAAGTATTGAGCTCCAAATAATTCATCAAGTAGCTCATCTACAGTTGGTATTGGAAAGGTATCCTTGACTGTTATGGTGTTTAAAGCCCTATAGTCAGTGCAGAATCTCCAAGTGCCATCTTTTTTTTTTTACTAAAAGGATGGGAGATGAGAAAGGGCTTGTGCTAGGAGCTATGATACCCTTGTGTAACATGTCTTCAATCATGTTTTCAATTCTCTCCTTCTGGCTGTGAGGATATATATAAGGTCTCACCTTAATGGGTTGACTGTAGACCCCTAAAATTGTCCGGGTCGGAAATAAGACTCAAAGACTCTCGAAGACCGAAGGAAAGTCAGCTGGAAGGACTCCTGGAAGACCCTAGGATTATTCTTTGTAGGTCTAGAAGTCTTAGAGTAGCTTAGAATAAGGGTGTGCGAGGATTGGAGCTCAATACACCCTCCCAGAGGTTCAGTACGGCCGTACTGAGCCATTTGAACTGCAATACGGCCGTAGTGAACTCAATACGGCCGTACTGAAGTTTCTGAACTTCAGTACGGCCGTACCAAATTCAATACGGCCGTACTGTAGTTCAAAAACCCAGTACGGGCCGTATTGACCTCCCAGGCCGTATTGCGCCTCAATCCTATAAATAGGACGTCATTTGCACGTCATTCCACACTTTTTCCACACTTCTGGACCCTCGTGCTGAGTATTCTTGGGTTTTTGAGCTATTCTCTGCCCTAGAAGTCTCTCCGAGAGCCAATCCGACGAAGTTCTTGAGTCATGAGCCATTAGCTTGAGACTCGAACAAGTCGAAGGGAAATCTCTTTGATTTCCATAGTAAAAATTATCTTTAGGGAAAGGAGCGAGCGGACGTGTAGTGGGAAGGAGCGCCAAAAAGCCTCCTAAACTTCGTTTTGAATATATAAAAGCCCGCTTCGAAGGTTTCTTTCCAAATCCCTTCTTTTACCGCTTTTATTTATTGCTTTTTGATTGTTGCATTGCATGTTTAGAGTTTTCATCATGTAAATATTTTACTCATAATCGTTTCTAATAAATAGGGGTAATTTAGTAACTTTACACTATTATTTATGAAATAATCTGTCATAGGGAACCCGAAAGGGGCGTTGTGGGGTGCTAACACCTTCCTCACACGTAACCGACTCCCTTACCCAACTCTGGTTGTAATGGCCGAAGTTGATTTGCGAAAATCAATTGCCTTATATCTTTTTCCAATGTTTTGAGTAAAACATTGGTGGCGACTCCAAGAACCCCTTCTTTTTGCGAAAACCACTAATCCATGGAGGGTCCCGCTTGGGATTAACATGGATTGGTGAGAATCATTTAACAAAATTGTTAGCTCGATGAGGTCTCAGTTTGAGAATAAGTCATTCTAACAATCCATCATTTTTCAAAACTTAAAAAGAGTCCGACCATCGTCGCGAATGCCAATGTCCGTTTCGGCGGGTGGCGACATTGACTTCCAGGAAGTAAAGGAACACTAGTGCAAAAATTGGATTTAAAATCGGAGTTTTAAGATCGGTTATAAGGTAACCGATCTTAAAAGTGATGCGGTGACATTTTTGTAAATAACATAAACACTTTTAAGATCGGTTATATTATAACCGATCTTAAAAGTACTTTTAAGATCGGTTATTTTATGACCAATCTTAAAAGGTATACATTTAAAATCGGTTCAAATATAACCGATTTTAAAAAGTATTTTTGAAATTGGGTTTATTTTAACTGATTTTAAATCATGTCTTTTTTACTACTTTTAAGATCGGTTATGTAGGAACCGATTTTGTATATAACATACAAAATCGGTTCTGCATAACCGATCTTAAATATCCTATAACACATTCATCCTATAACACAGATTCACAAAGAGGCAGCTGTCTGTTCTGCTTCAGGTTCGTTTTTAAGCTTGTTGGATTTCCCTTTCCTTCATTCGTGCTTAGGGCTTCATTCGTCCAGGTACGTTTCACTAAACAAGCGGACCGGAGGGGAGGGAGGGAAGCGGACCGGAGAACTGGTTGCTGGAGACGTTGAGGTAGACGAGGCGGTTACAAGCGGAGAGTGTGTGAGCAATGTCGTCGAAGTATTTGTTGGCGGAGAGGTCTAGATACTGGAGGGAGGAACACTCACCGAAGGAAGAAATCGCCACGGAGAAGTTGTTGGAGGAGAGGTCCAAGTACTGAAGAGAAGCGGCAGCGGAGAAGTCGCTTTCGCTAGAGATTTTGTTTCCTTTCAGCACCAGGTGGTTGAGGTCGGGGTTGAGGAGCCACGGGATGAGTGTCGGCCCTGAAATCTTGTTGTAGGAGAAATCCGCCACGCCGAGGTTGAGCTTCCAGCGCGGTGAGTCGAACTCGAGGAGGTTGCTGGAGAAAAATGACATGTCGGAGAGGGAACTGGAGAGTGCATTTTGCGACAGATCTATGGCGGACAATGAGGAGGCGCAGTTGGAATGGGAGGGAGGGAGGGAAAGCGAACCGGTTAGGTTGGTGGATTTGAGGGAGATGAACTGGAGGTGGTCGAGGGTGAGGAGGTAGGTTGTTACGATGGTGAGGTCGGTGCTGAGTGGGATGGAGGTGAGGTCTATGGAAGTGAGGTGGGTCTGGTTGCAGGTGATTCGGGTGAAGGTACAGGGGTTTTGGTTTGGGAGCCAGTTGGATAATTTCTTTAATCTAAGCTTCCCCTTTATCACTCTCCATGCTATCTCCTTAAATGAATATCATATCTCTAGACTCTAACTCATCATGTATAAATGAATAATGTATCATAGTAAACAAAAGAAATTTAAACCATGCATGTTATTATTATTTGCAGATGGGGAAACATTGAATTTCCAATGCCATTTGGAAGAGTTATGAGTACCACAGAGTCTTTCATTCATGGATTAGATGAAAAGGTGAACAGATATAATTTTCTCCTGCATCTACAGTCAGATTCACATCATTTATTACTTTGTCCATAAGCTGCATATCTTAATCCATTTTGCTCCTAACCAGTACTGTTAACTTTTAACACATGGTCTGCAGATCTTCAGGGTCAATTGAACTCCTTGTACTAACCTCTTATCAGTACTGTTAATCGTAACCATGGTGCTATGAATTCTTTTTCTTAAAAGCTTATGATGTTTGTTTATTTTGTGTTCCCAGACAAGTGCATCTTTAAAATTCACGGTGTTAAACCCAAATGGCCGAATTTGGACAATGGTAGCTAGGGGAGGTGCTAGTGTCATCTATGCTGATACGGTGTGTTTCTATTACTTTAAAAATAAAATTCCTTGCTAAACTCTATCATCTTGTACAATTGAGCCACAGACTTATACTAATTTATTAAAATAGGTAGGAGATCTTGGTTATGCTCCTGAGCTTGGAAATTATGCAGAGTATAGTGGTGCACCCAAGGAAGATGAAGTCTTGCAGCATGCCAGAGTTGTGATTGATGTAATCAGTTCTTATCTCAAACATTATTGTTGGCACGTTTATTATGGATAAAATATTATTGCTTTAAGTGATCAGCCATTCCTTGTTTCGGCTGTGTGAAAATAGCTTATCAAATGCATGATACTTTGAAACATGATATAGTGATACTTATCTCTATGATAATCTCCTTGCAGTGTGCAACTTTAGACCCTGATGGCCAAAAGCGAGCCCTTGTGATAGGGGGACGAATAGCTAACTTTACCGATGTTGCTGCTACATTCAGCGGCATAATTCGTGCTCTGAAGGAGAAGGTGAGCCTATCATCATGAACCTTTTCTCTATAATATCGTACTAATTTTCTCATAGTAGAGTTAATTGATTGTTGATCTTGCCATAAATTGCATATGGTGAATTGAATTAATTATATCCTATTTAGGTGACATACACTTTTATTAAGCATATGGTGAATTGAATTGGCATGTGCTTAATATCTAATATTTTTAAAAGCGTGAAGGAGAGAACTTCATCAAGAAAAGGGAAAAAATCCAAACTCAAAAGTTTACTAATATTGTTAGAGTTACACTATGGTTTTTCTGTTAAACTCATAAATGTTAGATAACGGTCTTTTACACTTAAAGTATGGCTTTAATGAATAAAAATACAATCCCTACATGTGATATAACAATAAAAGAGTAAGAAATGGCCTGAGCTTTTAAAGCCACCAGAATAAGATACGAAAAGTTTAAATGATCATTTTTCCTTTCTCATCACTTTAAAGATATTAAAGCAATGAAGAAACAATTTATGACGATCCCAGATCCAATTTTAAGTGCCTTTTATCCTTTTACGTAACACTTTAATTTTGAATTAATTTAAGCATAAAAATTTAAGACCAAATTAAAATTTAAGATCTTTCGAATCCATTAAGCAAGATTAGTTTGTGATATAATTGAGTGAAAAATAGTTATGACGTGATCAATTACTCATTTCGACAATCAATTTATTTAAAAATTTTATTTAATAAATTTTTATGTAATCAAAATTCATATTATAAATGTTTAAAATTTAATAAATTATTATATTTGAATATACATATTAATAATCATTTATATAATTTTAAAATATTTAAGTATATTATAAATGTTTAAAATTTAATAAATTATGTTATATGATATGAAAGTATGTAAAGAAATGAATGTGTTGCTCTAGGGATGCTTTTTGAGAAATTTTGTGAATGGGTGGCAATTTATTGTGTGATGATGATGTGTTCATTGAGGGAATTGAAATGCACCATTTTGGTGTTTATGAGTTTCTGTTTACTACAAGGATATGCCAATTGATACAGGGTTTTGATGGGAAACTAGGTTTTTTCTTTTGTTTGGATATTTAGTGGATAATTAGCTTCTATACTACTTATTATTAGATGTTGCAAATTTGCAATTGACGTATTTTAGATGCAGAGAAATGGATGTGTTGCTGCAGTGCTACTTTTTGATAAATTCTATGAATGGCCTATTTATTGGACGTTGTTGATGTGTTCGTTGAGAAAAAATTGAAATGGATGCGATTTTGAGGTTCTGTTTGCCGGGGCTAAGACATGCAAATGGATGCGAGGTTTAGTTGCGTTGATTGATGTAATCTTGGTTTTTTTTATTATGATTGTTATATTACATATCCTGTATTTTGCCAACACTTCTAATTCTATTGCAAGTGATTAATGCAAGATGAATTTCATTTTACCTAACTATCAGCTCTAATTATGTATTTTAGAATTCTAATTTATGCCATTGAATTTCTGATAGTATTGCTGTCACATTGATTGTTTCTTCTATGATTTGTGAAACTTTTGGTTTTTATTGTGCTTGCTTTGAGTATTATTTTTTTTTATTCAATTCCTATGCATATTCAGTTCCTATTTTATTCAGTTAATTATTTTAAATTTTAATGTATATTTGAAATGTGCTTTTATATTTTAAAAGATTCATATTAATTTTTTTTTATTTCAATTGACTTTTAAAATCGATTGTTACATAACCGATTTTAAAAGTCTTAACTTTTAAGATCGGTTAAAATCATAACCGATCTTAAAAATCAAGACTTTCAAGATCGGTTATATAACAACCGATTTTAAAAGTCAAGACTTTTAAGATCGGTTATAAATCAACCGATCTTAAAAGTCTACTTTTAAAATCGGTTGATAACCGATCTTAAAAGTCTACCTTTTCAAAATCGGCTCTTTTAAGATCGGTTCCATAACCGATTTTAAAAGTCCAAAATAACCGATTTTAAAAGCCTTTTTTCCACTAGTGGAATAGAGTGATTGTGTGTTCTTGTAGGAGGTAAACTAGAGGGTTTATCAAACACCTTCCTGTATGTATTCAAGAGCGTAGCCAAATCTGGATGCATGTCTGGAGGAGAATCAATCCATTGATCTTGAGGAACATCCTGAAGTTTAAATTGCAAGGTATAATACTCAGCAATGGTATGTGTCCGAGACATCCTTTTGATGTGATGGTATTGAGCTTGAGCTGGTAAAGTTGTTTTTGTACCATGTAAGGTAATGAAGTCCCCATCTAAGTAAAATTTCAAGGTCAAGGAACTGTAATCTGACACATGAGGCCCCAACGTGGCCAACCAAGCAGCACCTAGGACTAGATCAGCACCAGAGACAGCCAGTAAATAGATTGGAAGCTATAGAGTATGTCCCTGGGCAGTGACTTTCACATCTCGAACCAAGCCTTCCACAGTTAATGCATTTCCATTACCCACCATAACTTGGAAGCTAGAGATAGGTTCAATAGGCAGTTTGAGGTAATTAGCAATTCGAGGCTGCAAGAAATTGTCAGAACTACCACTATCTAACAAGATTTGGACATTAACACCATTGATAGACCCTTGAAATCTCATGGTTCCCAAACTAGGCGATCCTTTCAAGGAATTGAAGGAAAGGTGATGTTCTAATGTTAAATCAAGTGGAAGTGGTTCAGGAGGGTCTAGACAAGGGGGTGACTCATCCAATTCCTCTACAGACAGTAACAAATACTGCCTATTGGGAAACCTATGAGTAGGAGAGAACTTATCATCACAAGTGTAACAAAGACCTTTCTCCCTTCGAAGTTGCATTTCTGCCGCTGTCATTTTTTTAACCGTAGGTGTGTGTAACAGCTGGGCAAATGGTTTTTGACTCGGTGTGGGTAATATGGCAGGAAGTGTATTGGGTCGTTGGCTTGTGTTTAGGTTTGTGTTTAAGCTTGTGTTTGATTTCTTAAAAGAAGTAGTATTGTAGTCTAGCTTTGGGACAGTGGAATATTTCTCCTCATACAATTTAGCCAACGAAACAACCTTTGGAATTGAATTTGGACTTTGAGCAATGACATCACGTCTGAGGTCAGGTTTCAGGCCACTAAGGAAGTAGTCCAACAAAGCATCAATAGTAACACCGGTAACTCTGTTAGCTAATGCGGTAAACTCGGTGTAATACGCACTAACAAATCCAAGCTGAGATAGCTTGAACAACGTAGAACGCAGGCACTCGTATGGGGACGGACCATATTCCAGCTCAAGAGCTCTAGTAAATGCCATCCACGATTGGAATGGATTGTTCCTCTGCATCATTTAAAACTAGGGAACCACATCTTTGTCCATATATACTGTATCGATTATCAACCGTTGAGCATCCAGAGTAGAATAATACTCAAAAAATTGTTCAGCCTTAAAGATCCAATGTAGCACATTGATTCCATCGAATCGCGAAAAATCAAGTTTAATATTTCGTACCTGAAATGGTGGATTAACCCCTGCTGATGAGTTTACCCCAAGTTTAGTAAAATTATCTCAAACTTTAGACGTGGTTGTTTTAGGCTTCTTAGTAGGCCTAGAATCATCAATATCTTCAATAATAGGAGAAAGTTGTTCATTTAACCCAACATCAATAATTTTCTCATGGGTTTCAGATTCCATTCTGTATATTGAAAGCATTAATAAAAAGAAAGTTACTCATACAATTAAACACCAATATATCACTAGTAATAATATATAGCAAGACATTAATAATATATAGCAAGGTATTAAACTATTAATGATAAGTAGTCAATGTCTCAATGGTGACTCTACAAAGCTACAATAAAAGAAACAATAACATCATAAAAAGATATATTTAATAATTTCTTAGTTTTTAGAGACTAATATAACATCCTTTAAATTTAAGTATTAATTTGAGTGTTTCCTCTTTAAATAAGTAGATCTTTTCTTTCTTTCTCTCTTAAAATTTAAGTAGGTTAACCAAAATTGCTACCTTCGAGTTTAGTGTGGTAACCAATTAAAAATAGGGCGAAAAATTCTAGAATCAGAATTATTAAAAAAAATCATAAGACAAACTCGATTCTAAATTCTCTCCACCAATACCAAACTGAATCTTAGAAACTTTCCTGTGAAACGTAACAGCCAAAGTGAAATTTCATTTATGTAATTGTGTGTAGAACAAACCCCAAATTTATTGAAACTGAAATAATTCCAACCTTTTCCAAATTAAATTACTTTCTAAAAAGTTCCGTTAGCTTCAATGACATAGCCTACATTACTAAAAATTAAAATCTGGAGAAAAGAATAATGATCAATAACATGTGTACAACACTTTTAAACTCAGTTGTTCCTAGTAAGAATTCCTCACCTATATGACATGACAAAACTATGACAACTAAATTTTTTTTTCCCATATTCATTAATTAGATGGAGACCTTACACTTTGGTTGCTCGTCACATTGTAGAATATTTTCACTAAACGATGTTGCAAAAGTGGAATAGAATGAATATCCGTGAAAACAATGTAAGCCCATTTTTACCGGTGAGGTGCACATTAAGATTATAAGCACTTTGATTGGCTGATTTCATTAGGATTAGGATTGTGCTAACTCATTACACAATGTCAAAGTGGCTACTTGAGTTGTATTTGGATAAAAGTTATAGACGATTTAAAGTATTGAGGCTAGTCTCCTTCCCCCTTCCTTTTTTTACTTTTCCTCTCTCCTTTTGCTTGTGCTTCTACCCGGGTTTTTCATTTTTATAGATTTCTAGAGACCTGAGGAAATTTTTCTAAGATTAATTGCTCGATTTTGCATGCTCTGCTCCCAAAATGCAGAGAGATTTTCGAGGGCAGATCCAGGTTGGTCTGGAAAGTCATGGGAGAGGCGGGCTCAGTGAAAGAAAAAAAACCATCTTCAAACCAAAACAACAACACCAATTCACCGATTCAGGGTATCCTCCAAGATCAAAATCATTCAGATTCCTTACAGATTAAAAATAAAAAAGGAAATACCCAACAAGTGTAACACCCCAGTTTTCAATAAAGTTATTATTATTATTATTATTATTATAATTATAATTATTATATGGTATTTGGTCATAATTATTTTAATAATTATAGAAGAATATTATTTTGTACGTTTTAAATAATTATTATTTTGGACAATTATTTTGTACGTATTAAATAAGTATTTTTTATTAGCATATTTAAATAAATATTTATATGTTTTAAGAGAAGGTTGATTTTATATGATATTTTGTTATTGAAATTATATTATTATATTTTGGGTCAGAAATATATTATTATTATAGAGGAAAAATATTTTATAATATACATGTATTTATTTTATTTAATTATTTTGAGGAAAAAGAGAAGTGGGTTAGAAGAGAAGGAAAATGGGTTGGGTTGACCCAGCCCAATGGATTAATTTTAAGGAGTCAGGTAGCGTTAACCCTATCTACCTCATTTGCGTTCTGAAGGGTT